TGTTTCCTCCCAGTCCAGAGCTGTGTAGGTACTGGAGGGTCCAAAAACAGAACGACTACATTGATGAGATTCTGTGGCTAAGCAAAGGCTGCCTTCAGACGTCTCAGATGCCTGGAGGGGGCTGGAGCCGGCTCGTGGTGGGGCACTTGCCCAGCAAGCATGAGGCTCTGGACTCCATCCTTAGCACTGGGCGGAAAAAAAGAAAACTAGAAGAAAAGAAAGGACAACTTGGGGCCTGGGGTTGTAGATCACGGTACAGCTTGCCTAGCGTGAGTCAGATCCTCAGTTCAATCCCTAGTACCACAAAAGAAAAAAGGTCACTGTAGGTGGAGACCAGAGGAATATTTCACAAGACTTGATTTTTGCCATGTTTAATTTTTTTTCCATTCTTGAAATCAAGATATCGTGTTTCAGTAATTCAAGTGTTTTGCTTTGTGACAGAGGCCCGATAAGCTGTCCAGGCTGGCCTCAGCCTCCCCAGTTGCTGGATGACAGGTACCACCATACTCAGCTATAATTCGAGTTTTAAGTCACTCCATTCTGAAGCCAATCCTATGTTCAGAGGTGTCGAGAGATGAGAAGACTCTTGAGGGAATAAGGGGTGGATAGCGCCAAGAGCAGGATCCGTGGGGAAGGTGCTGGTCATCAGTCTCAGGACCTGGCATCCTCTTGCAAATCCAAGAAGCAAATTGGGATGGAGGCTGTGCATGGAGTCTCAGCCACACACCCTCTCCAGGCCAGCCACCTGACGGGAACACTGTCGTCCACCATGCCTCCGTCACTGGCCCATGCTCACCATCTGTCATGGCAGGTGATGATGGAAACTACCTGAGCCATTGCTCTGTCATTGGTATATGATTTTCTGGCTCACAAAACCAAAAGTTCTTAATCTCCCTTCTCAAACAAGACTAAAGCCCTATAGTTAGGCACCACCCACAGAAACATCCCCTAAACCATTTCCCCTAAACTTCCTGCTCCACCCCATCAAGTTCCAGTGTAGCAGAAATGAAACCCACCACCTTCAACCAGACTTGAGTATTCTACTCAAGCAGGTAGAAAGCCAATTACAAGGGCTGGGGATGGGGCTCCGTGGTAGAGTGTCTGGCAGGCACGAGGCCATGGATTGATCCCTAGCACTGAAAGGAAAAAGAAAAAAAGAAGACTAGTTATAAACGCAGGCACTAATGTTTTAAGAGATGTTTTTCCCTTGGGCATGAGGGCTTTTGTCTTTTATTTTTCATTTTCCTTTTAAAGAAAGTATTTTGGGGTCAGGCATGATAGCGCACACTTGTAATCCCAGCACCTCAGGAGGCTGAAGCAGGAGGATCTCAAGTTCAAAGCCAGTCTCAGCAATGTGGGCCCTAAGCAACTTATAAGACTCTGCCTGTCTCAAAATAAATAAATAAACAAATAAACAGGGCTTGGGATGAGGCTCATTGGTTAAGTTCCCATGAGTTTTTAAAAAAAAAAAAAATGAAGGGGGATTTTACTGTCAACTTGCAGATGTTTCCTTCTCTGACCTTTAATCCACAGACACACCCCTGGCAGTGACACCTACGCTAAAACAACTTCATCCCTCCACCATGATGAGGGATCCAGGTTGGACAGCTTCAAACTCACGCAGTCCCTTTCCCTAAGGGATTTTAGAGTCCCTTCTCGCCTGGGCTGACCTCCTAACCCAGGTGCTGTGGAGTCATTGCAGTTTGCTTCCTGTGCGCCTCTCTGCCCTTCTGTCCAGCTCTCTGTCCCTCCATTCATGTGGCAGAAGGAAGTAGTGCAGAAGGTAGTTTCTCCCAGGTGAGAATTTTTTGTTTGCAAGTAACAGGGCGTCACAGAGACGGGCAGCAGGGTCGTCGATTAGCCTCGGGTGCAGTAAGGACCCCAGGCTTACATGAGGGTTTGAGCAAGAGTCTCCTGTCACTTTGTCCTGTTCCTTAGCTGTCCACTCTCACTGCAGACCAGCTCCCTCTGTTCCCCAGTCCCCAAACTAAATAATGGTCCTAGCGCCCAGCTCCTAAGTCCCAGCTTTTTGGTTTGAGAGAACAATTATACTGAGTTGGAATCTTAGTCTAATTCTAAATTCCTGAGGAAACTCTTTGATTGGTTCTCTGTGGGAATTCTGAGTGGAGCAAGTCATGCTGCACGGACTATCCCATGCATGGCAGGACTTGGAACACGTTGGCCCCTGTCCCTTAACTGCAGTAGCCCTCTACACTACTGATGGTGACGGCTGTGGAAACACCCTCACCCTCCACCAAATGGCCCTCTGGGGACACTGGGGACAGTGTTAGCATAGTCTGAGTACCGCTGCATTAGATGTTCCAACTCCGCTCATTCAGTTTGATGTCTGACTCCAGACAACTTGAAGACGGTCATAAATCGCCAAATCCAGGGAGGGATTTCCCTCAGAATGCATTTTGAAGGGTAGAGGAGTGTGGAACCCAAACTGATATTTTCCTTCCTTGGTGATTTGGAGTTACCTGTGTTTGTGTCTAAAAGCAAAATGTGTTTGGATGTTTTTAAAGTCACATCTTGCTTTCAGTAACAAGGGATTATTTTTCTTGCTCAGTGGCCTAGTGATGAAATCAAGCCGGTGGTAAATGTTTGTTTCTCTCTGCCCAGACATAGGTAGTCCTCAGAATGGCAAATATTTACTTGTGAGCTGGCATTCTCCTTTGGACTCAGCCAGTGAACACCAGTGTAAACCAGGCATCTTCAGGTGGCCCAGGGACAGTGGCCAGGGAGGATAGCAGGGAGCGCACCACCTAGGGCAGCCGTTGTCTTTCATGGAAGTCTGGTTGGGCTCTGGCCAGCTCTGCCTGGGCCTTCTCCCACTGTGAGCCTGACAAGGGTCTTCCCTCAGCTCTGGGCTGTGGAGGTCAGACCCTGAACACACAGGCCTAAGAGCAATTAGGGTGGTAGGAGGGATGAGCAACGTTTCTTCTTCCTCCTCTCTCTTTTTTCCTGAGGTGCTGGGACTCTAACCCAGGGCCTCGTGCATGCCGGGCAAGTGCTCTCCCACTGAGCTGCATCACCAACCCTAAGATAGATTTTTAAAAATTCTTATTATGACCCTGAAAATATGATCAGAGCCATATCCCTAGCACTGCTATTCCTTGGCCCTAGTTTGGAGCCTGTACTGGTGAAAAAGAGGAAAATCACCATGAATTTTCTAATCTAAAAAAATTAAAAAGTTGTAATTAAAAATTAATTAAAATTAATTAAAAAGTTGTAATTTGGTTCTATGGGGGATAGTTCCTTTTCCTTTTTTAAAATATGGTTATCAAAAACTTTAAAATTACACTTATGGCTGTCATTTGCAACTTACATGATATTTCTGTGATCTAGTTCTGCTGTAGTATTTTAATCCTTTAAAAATTAAATTTTAAGTGGAAAATTAAAAACTGTTATATTTTCAAAAAATCACATGATGTTTAGAGATATAACCACGGGCTGCATGACACTATTTCAGTCAGTGATGAACCACAAATAGGATGGTGGCCCTATAAGATACAATGGAATAGAAAGTTCCTATTACCTAGTGACATCATAGCCATGGCTCCGGCACAGCATGAGGCATTACTTGGGTTTTGTGGTGATGCTGGCGTAAACAGACCTACTGTGCTGCCAGCCATATAAAAGCATAGCACGTACAATTACGTTCAGTACATCTTACTCACTAATAAACAATTCCGTGACTAGTTTACATAGTTCCTATACTATGCTTTTATCATTATTTTAGAGTGTGCTCTTTGCATTATAAAAAAAAAAAATACCGTCAAGCAGTCGGCCATATTCTGTTGACAGCAGTTTCATGCGTCTCGTGTTTATCATGTCTTTTCCTGCAGTCCAGAGGTGACTTCCAGGGACTATCCATCCCCTGTGGGCTGGTGGCAGTATGCGGTAGTCAGCCATGATGAAACTGATTAACAATGCATGTCTCAGGATGTGCCCTCACTGTGAAACCACACATGTCTGGATGTCCATTTTGTTTTTGAATTAAAGAGATAAACTAATAAGTCATTCTGAATTAATAGTATTGTAAGTGACAGGGCCACATGGAAGAAAGAAATCTGATTCAGGTAGTAAGAGAGATGCTAGCATTAAAGAATCCCTGAGTCCGTGCTGATGTGAATGAATGAATGGATGAGGGAGAAGGGGAGCGTATTCTCACCTCAGGAAACACCTGCTGAAGTATGGAGACGTGAGGGAAAGAGGTGAGATTCTAGTCCCACCTCTGTGCTCCGGAAGCCTCGGAGGCACGCTCAGGTTTGAGAACCACTGCCCTAGTTGATCTCTAAAGTTCTGTGGTTCTCATTTGTTTCTCCTACAGGCTCTGTGTCAAAGGACACCCTCCCCCAATCCATTCATTATTTATTTGGTGCCAACAAAGGGCCAGCCAGGGAACAGGGAGTGCTGGAACTCTGGAGGAATGGTTCTCCTCCTGGGCAGTCAGACTGGACGTCTGCTTGCAATAGGTACAGATTAAACGTAAAACATTTAATAACCCACTGGGTCCAGGAAAACATTAAAGAAACCAGCTGATGCATAATTAAGTTCCAAGCCGTGGTTGATCTGCCTGGTCTCTTACTACAATGCTGAGTCAGTGGCTTGCAGGAGGGATGGGGCCATGGACCATTCCTGCATGTTTCTATCACTTGCCAGAGACCCCATCCTCTCCACAGGCTGTTTCCTAGATAGCTAGGGAGAATCTCTCCTAGTGTCTGCTAAATAATTTTATAAGCCCAGAGTTAATTCTCATTTGTTAGGATCTTTTTTTTTCTTCGAGGCAGGGTCTTGTTAAATTGCCCAGGCTGGCCTTGAACTTGCGTTCTTCCTGTTTCAGCCTCCTAAGTTGCTGGGATCACAGGCATATTGTCTGTTAAGATCCTAACCTGTGGCCCCAGAAAGTATCAAGCTTGCTCCCGACTGGTTAAAAAACAAAGATCTCTCCTATCGCGGTTGCTGGGATTACCCCCGCACCCCTTACAAGTCTCCCACTCACGTCTTCTCCCTTGTCCTCAATCCCACCTGACTCCCAAAACTTACATGTTCAGTCCTGACCTGTCCTCATTTCAATTACTGATGTTAAAAAAAAAAAAAAACTTTTACTTCTTGAAAGGTAATACACTTGTTCTCACCAGTTGGGGTCCAAGGAGGTCCCCAGAAGGGAAAGGGGGACCTCAACTCAGCCCTGGCAAGTTCTTGACTTAAGCTGCACAAAGGAATTTCAGGACGACACGTCAAATGAGGCACAAGCAAAGGATTATTCAGGAAAGCAAGGGATTTCTTTAGGAGAACAAGCCACAGCGCAGGACCTGCTCTCGAGGGAGAGGGGTGTGGGCGCTCAAGAGCGAGACACACGCAGGGGTCTCAGGCTCTCTTCTAAAGCGGACTTTGTAAACAGTGGGCTGGAGACCTACCAGGGTGGCATCCGCCTAATGAGCTCAGTTCTTTTGAAGGTGGATCCCAGAGCTGGTCTAGGTGGTCTGGTTCTTCTCAGAGTCTTCATGTTGACGTTATCTAGTTAACAGCGCTTGGACTGGACCGTATCAGAGGTGTCTAGCAATCTCTCTCTGGGCTTCTTTTAATTATTCGAAAATACATCCTGTAAGCTAACAAGGTATATGGGCACCAATTAATTGGACTGACAGTACTCTAAGGTTTACTGGACCTTTGAAGAATTCAGACCTGGAGGAAAAGAGGATTTCCTGGGGATTAAAGGAGAAGGTGTTCATGGAGTTTTAAAGTTACAGTCCCTCTCCTTCCCTGTTTCTCTCCTTTCTGCCTGTTCTTAATTCTTCTACCTACCTCAATATGATCAAAACTCAAAAGATGCGTGAGGCTCTGTATGGAAATCTATATGCCCTGCATCCTTCTTCCCCAGCGGTACCCTCTTCCCTACCATTCTCCAGGTTCAGTATTTTATTTATTCTTGAGATAGGGTCTCACTGTGTTGTCCAGGCTGACCTTGAACTCCTTGGCCCAAGTGATCCCCCCCTCAACCTACCAAGATGCTGGGATTACAGGTATACACTGCACACCCAGCAGTTTCCGTGGGTTTCGACTGTCTTGGGAAATCCCCTTTTAGAATTTATGCCACCTGCAATTCTCTATGTCCAGAAATAAACCCATCGTCTTCCCCAGTCAGCCTCCTGGTTTTCATCTATAAGGTGGAATAATAGCAGCACTTCCCTCAGAGGGCCGTGTGTTCCCCTAGAGCCAGGCTTGTGGGTTTTAGCATGCTGGACATGTAGGGAGCACTCCATAGACTGACGGCACAGCTTCTTAAAGGGCATATCTACGTAGGGTTTACCTACCCCTCCCCCACTCCCCAGCCCCATTGGCCACCTCTGTTGTCCACTGTCCTTCCCCTCCACTCCGGATACTTGGCTTCATCTGTCTCTCATGCTGTCCTTTTCTTGGGGGATTTGGATGGGGCAAGAAGAATTCAGAGGGAATTCCCTGGGGCTGCCTCCTGCTGCCAGGGTTCTTAGACTTAGCTGCTGAGAACTCTAAGTCCCCTCGTCCCTTCCAATGTCCCTTCCAACGTGGACGCTCCCAGTCTCTCTTTCAGGATGTGGCTGGTAATTAGTAGTTCATTCCTGACATTGCTCTTTCCTCCGGGGCCAAATGACAGAGGGGGATATATTTAAACATACAGGGTTTCTTGGCTGCTCTCGTGCACTTATTTAATCTTCCCACAACAGCTTATACTTCCCCCCCACCCCTGGGCTTCCAGAAACACAGGACAAATGTCATTTCCATAGTTTAAATACTTCCATGTGTCAGGTTTTCTAGTCCTTAAACATGAAGGACGAGGGTCTCGACCTTGGGGGCTGGGGGACTGGCAAGTGGCTGCCTGGCTGTCTGCTGTCCGTGATCAGCATCTCTTAGGAGGGAAGGATGGTGGGAGCTCACGTTGCTGCATTCCAATCTGCGCTCTGTCCACCTGCTGTCCCCTGCCCCACCCTTAGCAGACAAACATGCCACACAAGGAATGCACTTCAATCCAGCTGCATGCACCTGCGTGTGCTGATGAGGAGTCTCTGCAGCAAGGTCCTCGAGTTGGAGCCTTTCTCACGGGCACCGCTGACTTTCAACTGCTGTCCACTGAACGCTGCGTGGACCCAGTGGGACTTCCTGGGGAGAATGCAGCCGAGTGAAGCATCAGGATCTTGCCAAATAAAGGCATTAAAAGGGAAATGTCCTCTTATCCCAGCACCTGTCACCCCGTTGTTACACTTCATGTTTTATTTCAGAGAACGTTAGATTTATCATGCTGTGTGCTTCAGCCTGCAGGGGAAGCTGCCCCTGAGGGGTTCGCTGGGCTCGGGCAGTCCTCCTCCATCCAGGAAGCCTTCCCTGACCACCCAGTCCTGGCCTTGTTTTCTTGGGGTTCCCATAACCAGTACTGGGTGCAAAGGACACTGGATGGGGCCCTGTGTTTTTAGGAGCTCCCCCCTGACCCTGCTTTTGACCAGTCCTCCTTCCAGGGCAGACAGCAAGGGGCCAAAGGGACATGTGCCCGCCCAGAGCCCGTTCACTCCCACTGGACCATGCTCTGGGCACCCAAGACCCCCAAGTGTCCTCTTCTCTAGGTCCACGCTGAAAGGGACTCCATGGCTGTGAACACAACCCTAGAGCACCAAGGTGTGGCCCGGCACTGACCGTTACTGCTGGGGAGAAACAGGCCGCAGTCTTCACAGCCCACGCCTGCCCTGGGCCTCGAAGTACAGGGTGGGTTCAGAGTTATGGAGCCCGAGCGGGAGAGGCAGGGGTCTGTCTGATAAGGTAGGAGAATTGCACACATTCGTTTATGGTTGGTAAGCTTGATTTATAATTCTTAAACACTCAGATATATGGTCTACATGCCTCCTTTGTACTTTGCCCTGGGTCCTGCAAATGTGAAACGTTGGCCTGCTCATACCACCCTGGGAATATCTCTAGGGTTGCCATGCTGACCATTTATAACTATCTGAGTTCATGACTGAAGCAGCTGCCTGCTACTCCCCAGCCTCGGGGCCCTTGCCCACACTCTTCCCTCACCCAGAATGCACTTCTCTACGACCCCTTTAGCCTACCAGACTTTTAATTTATCTACCCACCGTTTTCCCAACCTGTTCAATTAGTTCAGACTCTTTGGTTCTTCACTCACATCTTCCTCCGATAAATGCTGAGGGGGAAGTACTACAGTTATAAGAACACCAGTGTTAGGGCAGGGGTGGGTCGACCCTGATGACTAATTGCCAGACGTCGTGACAGGTGCTTTCCATATGTCACATTTATTCTCAGAGGAAATCTGATAAACTACCAGCGTCACCCTTGTTCTACAGATGAAGAAACTGAGGCTTCAAAAGTGTGGCAGACGGTTATGCTGAAGGTCCCCCAGGGTATTCACGTTGCTCCGGCCCATACGGACTCCCACTTCCGAGGGGATCAGGGAAGCGTGACTTCTGTGGAGGCCAGACGAGCCTTGCACACTGCAGCTTGGTAAAATATCCAGCTCACTGGGAAAGCACGGGGCAGAACAGGCCCTTTGAGGGCCACTTACGCAGAGCTCGAAACCTGTCATAAAGCACCCTAGAAAAGGACTTCCCAGGGCCATTGGGAAGCCCAGACTAATAAAATAAAGAGATGAACATAAAGAACCCGGTGCTGAGAGAGGCCCAGCAGGCTTGCACCCCAGCTGAGCAGGACCCCAGTAACCCTGCGGCTGAAGCAGTGACCCTCAGCAACAGCAGTACAAGTGCACTCAGCCTGGAACTATGGCTGTGGGACACCACTGTTGAGGTGTGATGTCATTACGGCCATAGACACCTGCACAGTGGCATCCTCAGCAACAGATGACTGGTGCAGAGAAGCGTTTGCTCAAAAACCTGGAGCCAACACGGGATAGATGTGAATTCACACTACAGACTCACACTACCTAGGTTCCCAGTCCTGCTGTCCTGTTTTGGACCCTGGGTGGGCATGATCACTGTATCCCTTCTTGCTGGCTCCTGTCCTGGTCTCCACCGCTATACTGTCCCCTTCTTTATGTAACCATGTACCAGTTGCTGGGCATTTAGGTTGTCTCCAGTTTGGGGTGATTATGAAAAATACTTCTAAGAAGATTCTCATGCAAGTCTTTATGGGATCGTGTGTTTCCATTTCTCTTAGGTAGATACCTAGAAGCAGAATTGCCAGGAAGTCTGATTTATTTTTAACTATAAACTGTTTTCCAAAGTGCCTTTGTCATTTTGTATAATCCATCTATGGATTACTTGCTCCTCACCAGGTGAAGAAAAAGAACTCTCTACTTTTTAAATCAACTTTCAGGGTTGTTTTTCCTTGAAGAATTAATTAGGTCCTTGAGACTGTCCCAGCCATGTTCTCCCGGGTTGAACTCTGCTCTCTTCTCTATGGTAACCTTCCCTAGTCATTTATGATGGTCACACTCAGTGCACACATGTCATTATTTATTTATTTGAAACACTTTGCTCGTGGGCTGGTTCCAGTAATCCTTTAGTTTTCGGCTCTCCCAGGGGATGGTCATGTAAAGGTCCCGAGGCAAGCTCTGAAGAAGCAGCGCCTGTAGCTCAGAAGACACACAGGAAACCAAGCCCCCCAAAGTAGACTTCAGAAGAGCGAAACCTGGGGCCGTATTTTCCATAAGGGTACATGGGCCCGAAGTGCGTCCTCGTGAAGGTCGCTAGGGTGAAAGGCAGTCTGAAGGACCGAGGGCGTAGGAGGCCTCAGCACCCAGAGAGATAAGCACAGGGAGAGGAAGGCAAGTCTAGGGACGTGTGACACTATGCGCCCGCATAGCCCCCCCAGCCAGGCTCCCAGATTGCCTTCATAGGACTCTTTCCTATTGTGAAACTACGGTCAGAAATTCTGTTTCAAAATCCTTCTAGGTTGTTTCTGCACAATGGCAAGAATATACACTTTCAAAAAAATTGTCAAATGACAAAAGAGAGAGAGAGGTTCAGAAATGAAGTCTAAGACGAAGTCTGAAAATTGTCATCGAAGCCTTGGTGACACTAACCATGTCCACCCCTGGGAGGGAAGTAGATGAAGTCACAAGATTGTGGTCCCTAAAGTCATTTGCATAAGAGTTTCAGGTGCCTGAAATAGCAAACTAAATAGCTAAACTAAGATTTCTGACACTGAGAACTCAGTAATAAAGGAAATCACTATCAAGTAGTACACAGGGTCTCTCTTCACGGCTTTCTGATTGTGGAATTGGTTTCCCAACCTACATGTGTGCTAAAATCTCAAAGAGTCACACACACACACACACCCCACATGAAAAGAGAGTGTGAAAACTAGTGAAATCTGAATAAGGTCTATACTGTGTTGTCAATGTTACGGACCTGGGACCTGGGCAGTTTCCTGGTTTGGGCCACCCTAGAGTCATAGGAGTTATTGTCACTGGGGTAGCTGAGAAAAGTGCATATGCAAATCCTATTACTGTTTTTAAAACTTCCTTTCTTAAACTATTTCAAAATAAAAGGCATGTGAAATAAAGAAGAAGGGAGGGAGATACCCAGGAAGGGAGGGAGAAGGGCGGGAGGGGAGGGGGAGGGAGGGAGAAGGGCGTCCCAGGGACCTCTTCCTCCCCTCTGTGGCCAGCACTGACGGAGGTAGGAAGAGGGGGAGGCAGTAAGTGTGTTGCTCGGCTTTCCATCACTATAACAAGATGCCTGAGGTCATTGCCCTATAAGGAGGAATGGTTGGTTGGGGCTGACCATTTGGGAGCTTCCATTCCTTGCCTGTTTGGCCTCGTAGCTCTAGCTCTGGGCCTGTGGCAAGGCGGTGCAGAGGGACTGTGATGTGCTGCAAAACTGTTCACTTCAACTTCTAGGAAGAACAAAGGAAAACAAACTGGGGCCCTTAAATCCCCTTTGAGGGCACACCCCCAATGACCTACGAGCCCCCCCCACCACCAAGGCCCCATGTCTTCAAGCTTCCACCTCCTCCTGACAGCACCACCCTGGGGTCAAGTCTTCAACCCGTGGACATTGGGGGACATTCCACACCTGAATCACAGCAGTAAAGTACCTCTGAAATTTGAGATTGAGGGTCACCTCTGAAAGGGAAATAAAACCAACCTATATACACACATGCACAAAAAACCCCACCTTAAACTGCAGTCTACACATGAGTGACATTTCCTAATGGAGGAGACCAGGTGTAGCGTGGGGAAATCAGCATGCCTCAAGAGGGGTCTAGCTGCAGGAACGGCACCTTTCTTTGGCAAGAGTGGCATCTGTAGCTCAGCCTTCGCTGTTTCTGCAAGCAGAGAATGCAGGTGTCGGGCATTGTCCCCAGGAGAAGCCTGTACTGGCTGTCCCAGCGTCATTGGCAGGGTTACTTCTCCAGCAGAAACAGACACATCAGACGATCCCAGTTTGGCGACAAGAGCCATTAAGACCATTCTCGAATTCCCTGTGCTGTGACTATATACGCACTTTGGCTATCTGTCTCATTTTTGCATAGCAAGATAATGAGCTGGTCAGCCAATGGAAGGGTTTTAGTCCACTTGACATTATTTCTTCTTCATAAATTAGTAATATGGCATTCTAGTTCATGTGTCGATATCTTATGGGTTTTATGAGTGAGTAACCAGCACAGGCGTTCTTAACCTAGAAACCAAGATTGGGATTCAAGGACTCCATTAAGTCGTGAGATTGTATGCAAATGGGTGTGTGTGTGTGTGTGTGTATGTGTGCAGTGCACATTTATCAAGGAGAGGGGTCAGTAGCTTTCACCAGTTTCTCATATGATTTCAAATGCAATGACAAAACAGAATTTCTGGGCTGGTGAAACTAAACTACCATGCTGAGATACTATGTTGCAAAATAATAATGTCTAAGAGCATCCTTTCCCCTTTACTCCAACTATCTTATACTAAGTGAAGTATTTCATAACCTGGTTTTGTTTTTCTTTCATTTTTACAGAGCAAACTATGAATGTTTTCCTGTGTGGTTCTTTGATGACACCATTTTTAACAACTTCCATAGAATTCAATTGCTCAACTTCATCACAGAAGATTTTAAAGCTTCCTCACTTATGACCTCTCAGAGGCTTACCTTTTTAAGCAAAATGTTGACTTAGTTTTATTAATAGATGTGCCAGTGTGAGAAACAGTGGCCATCGCTCTTACTGACGGCTAATGTTTCAGAGACACGGGCTCCAGGCCAGGCAATGTGCTGCTTTGCATATGACACCCTATTGTGGCTTTACAACAGCACTGGGAAGCAGGTATTATCAATCCATTTAATAGTTGAGAAAACTGAGATACAGAAAAGTTAAAGAACTTGGCAAGGTCACTCTGCTCTCAGTGATGGCGTCACACTGGCAGGCCACATCTGCTGGCCTTTCACAATAACCATGATGCCCAATGTCTTATCTTTCAAGGTCCATTTGGATGTACTTTCTTCTACCTCAATTCTCCCTTCTTGGAAGTCCTCTGATTTCCAACTAGTTCTAGACCACCCCTGACCGTGACATTAGAGTATCATCTAACTCAGGGGTCCTCAAACTTTTCCACGAGGGACCAAACAGTAAATATTTCTGTTTCTGTGGTGCATATGGTCTCTGTCAAGGCCATTCAGCTCAGCTGCCCACTGTAGCATGAACATGGCCATAGACTGTGCATGAATCAGTGAGCGTAACTGTGCTCCAACAATACCGTATTTAGGACATTGAAATTTGGATTTCATATAATTCTCACATGTTACAAAACGCTGTCATTCTTTTGATTTTTTAACCATTTAAAATAAACCATCCTTAGCCCATGAACTACACAAGAACAGGTGGCGGACAGGATTGGACCCATGGGCCTGTGTCTTATGTATTCACATGCTCCACAGCTAGGCAGAAAAATAACCTTGTCTTCTCCACAGAATCTATCTACAAGGACAAGCTCATAATTAAATGTCCAACAAATACTCGATTGTAGTATGGATGCATGTGGCATCTTTATTTTCTTCATCCTCTCCTCTCCCTAATGAAATTCTGCATCTCTAAAATATCTCAGCAATTGTTTAGTTCTGAGGACTGATAAGAAAAAAAGAAAACAATCCACGTGCTTGGCCAGCTTAAAGGTCAGATGGCATTTTGGCTGGGGACCAAGGAATACAGCTGGTGAAAAATCAAGCTGTCACACACTTGTTGCTAG